CCGTTGTGTAGCGGCAAACACTAGTCGGAGCGGCAAAACATTCGCAAAACAAAAGATAATACATGCAAAATGATGAAAAATATCTAACACAAGGCACTGGAATAACCGATTTTATGATTTCATGGTGAAGAAAGGGTTTAGCAGAAGCAAAAATGATAGTAGTGTATACCATGCAAGATTAAAGGATGGTTCATTCATCTATCTTTTAATCTCTGTTGATGACATGTTGATTCTTAGGAATTAGACGCTACTAATCCCGTCAAGATCAATGGGACGCAAAATAATGTAAATTGAGAAAAAATAAATAATAGCAAAAATAAGTGCAAGTACGATACAAGAATTTAAGTGGTTTGGCAATCGTGCCTACGTCCACAAACCCACACCCATTTTCACTATATCAACAAAAGAAGAAAATGAATACAAAAATACACTCGGTATTTTAACGTGCTACGCAGAGACAATCTCTCAATTTTCTCCAATTTATAGTGAAAAACTCACCATTTTCATTAATTGCAAACCCATTATTTTCAACACGGTTGCCTTTCATTTAATTCACTTGCACCAAATCTTCAAAAAATACGGTTGAATGGCTGAAACAATTTCCATGCAAATTGTCTTTGCCTTCATTTTCAACATTTCCTCCTTTGCCTTAAATGGAAGGAAAAACTGTGTCTGCCACAAGGAAAATTGTGAAGCCTAAAACATAGATTTAGGCTTGTCAAGATGGACAGGCTGCCCACCCGGAGGTGAACCGGCTCGCGATTCGGCCCACGAACCGTGTGGGCCGAATCGTGGGTTGCCCGCACCTTGGACCGGTCCCAGCCGGTTCAAGGTGTACCGGGCCAACGGTTAACCATTGGCCCAGTTTGAAAAATAAATAAATAAATAAATAAAATAAAAATTGTTCCTGCAGCGGTAGGTGCTGCAGCTGCAGGCTGAAGCCTGTAACGTTCAGAACGGTTACAAGACCATTCTGATTTTTTTTTTGTCAACGATTATTTTTTTTTGGTATAAACTGTGGTATTGTGAAGTGAAAAAATAGCAAACTCTCACAATCTACAAGCTTGAAATCACTATTTTCTCGTTCTCTCTTAATATTTTCAACATGTAT